AAATATAATGTCAACAAGTATGGTTCTTCGTATGAAACAAAATAGGTAAATAAATGAAAAAGTCTCATTCCAAAAAAGTAGCTTTACAATAAAGTAGGTCCATTAATACTTACTAGTAAGTGTTTATAAAATAATTGAAAAACAAAAACAATCCGATATTGTTGCCACAGTCGTTCAATAAAAAAATATTTTACGAGGGAAATGCCGAAACTTTTTAAATATGTACTTGAAAACCATATAATGGGTCCTATGATTGAACGTTTACGTTATCCGTAACGTACATGTTAGGCCGAATTTTAACAGTAACAAGGCAAGTTTGTGTGATGGAAAACTCTTTTTTAACACATTACTGTTATTTTGCGCCTGTTATGATCTAATTTAACAATTTTCCATCATACGAACTTGCCTCGTTACTTTTAAAATTTGGTCTAACGTACGTTACGGATAACGTAAACGTTCAATCATAGCACCCAATATTTTGTAGCGGCAACTTTGAACTTTTGTTTTGCAGCTATAATTTATCATGAATACAATAAAAAGAATACATTTCAGCATGTATCTCATAATAAACCATTGCATCTTCTTAGAGCCAATTTGCAGTTCGCAGTTCGCCAGGGGCTCTTGGGTACATAAAGTTTGGAGGCCCTTTTAGGAACCAATAAAAAAATAAGAATGAAAATGCTTTTGTTTTGTGACTTTATTTGTTAGTATTCGCGATTCAAATTAATTTTCGCGCGTCTGTCATTTGTCACCTATAAGTAGGATATTTGTTTATTTACAATGTTTGTTTTGGGCGGGACTTTTTAACTGTTTTTAGATAATATCCTCATTGCAATAGTGTTTTTGAGTTTCATGTAGTATTAATTTAAGTTTAGGTTTCGTGTATTATGACTAATTTGTTGGAAATCTTCAACTGGTTGCTACACAAACATCTAGAGATATTTATTAATAAAGACAGGATGCGATTTAAAGGGCATTTTAGGTACCTAATGTTCATTATTAATAAACTTAATAAAAAAGCTTACTATTCCTATTCTTATATTATGAATGGTGTAGTACTTTGTATAGCCATGTAAACAGTAATAAAACTGTCGCAATGCAGATTACAGTTTGATTATAGACAAAATTTTGCAAAACCTCAATAATGTAAATTTGTAAATATCCATTTTTCGTAAAAAACAAAATTTTTTGACTTACGCTTGAAAAATATTTAAACACTTCAGTTTTGATTTTGACATTAACACCATATAGATTGCAATTTGTAGGAGGCTTTTTCGCAAATTTCATTTTTAATGTAAACACTATCACACACTATAAGAAATATACAAAATTGAAGCGTAAGAAAAAATTCGAATTAATTGATACAAATTAAAATATAAACAGTGAACATGAACGCCAATGTTGCCAAATGATGAACTAATTTTAAAACAAAATTGTTAAGTGAACTGAAATTTAAAAAAAAATCAATATACAAATCGGTTTTATAAAGAAATTTCTCTACTTTTAACCAAGTGAATTTTACTTCGCGAGATAGTTTGGGGCTAGTTTCTTATTGTTTAGTGATTTATGAAAGCATGAGAGAATTATCAATGATTCATGTTTTATTTAAAAAATATTAAATGTAATGTTTTCCATAATTTAATGGGTATATTGGCGAACCTGTTTCCTTAGTTAGGTCTAGTGATTTAAGTTGACGAACTTTTTTCAGAGGATTTCTTTACAAGGACAATGCAACCAACATAACAAAATAAAATTGTCACTAATGACATAAGCAATCGGATCACATAAACAGACTGTTTTTTCGTTTCTTTTTTGTTTTTATCTACTTTTAAGATGTTTACATACCATATTCTACCCATAACTTAAGGAATATTTTGTTATTTTATGTGTATTGTCCATGCAACTACATAAAGTTGACCCAGGTTCTCTTGTCGTTACAAGCCGCCGCTTCGTCTATGTTTCGATACTGCAGGAAAGAGACAAACGCACTCCTTCAAGAAGTTACCAGAGAAATCTTTGCGCGTCGGCTGACTTATAAAGAAAAAATTTCCAGAGATTCTAGACCGCCGAGAATTTACTCGAGCAGGGCTGGCTTTATATAAATAGCACGACTTTGTCGGTAGATGTTAAGATTCAATATATATTGTAAAATAAATAAATTAGAAGTGTGAGTTGTAATAGTGCATAAGTGCCTTTCTTACCGTCATTTTTCAAACACCTTTATTACCCCATCTCTTTCTTTGCAATGACAATTCTGTTTGCTAATCAAAAGTCATTTTTTCTAAATTTCTATTAAGTTGATCCCTTAGATAATATACTACTTACTTACTCTGAGGTTGATCCTTTGATAAAGAGGTTATTTTTCATTTCTAAGAACTTAGATTAAATGTGCATGGCAACATTTGAATGCAATTGTTTGTTCGTCAAACTCAAGACGTCAAAATAGCATATAAAATGTTCACATGTATGCGTACAGATTTGGGTAATGCCTCAGCCTAATGCAGCAAACCTTATTAATTAACAAATCTTGAAGTTGAAGGTCATTACCGATTATTACTTCGATAGTCCTCAGTCCTCAATCCTCGACAAGTTCGACGACCTCGAGTCGGCTCAATCAGATTGAGTTAATCGGACCTAACCGATCTTAGAACATATACAGTCAGGAAGGAGCATGCCATGTCCGCTTTAATGTAATCGATCTGATGAAAGTGGTAGCCATGTTGTACTATGGATGACTCATCATTATATGATAAATGGTTTCTAAAATTGGTTTATAATTTTAGTGATTAAAATTCAGTGGTAAGGAAATGCATAGTTGCCAACTTATAGACGATTTAATTGAACTTTAGCTGAAATCGGTTACTGAAAAACTGTTGCCATACGGACACTTGTCATTGTAGCAACTCAAATCTCGAATTGAAAAAATGCAAAGATTCCAAATTAAAGATGATTATAATCTAATTTTCGTTTAGCTGAAAGGCATTTTTCATGAGAGCCACGTACTACCTTTAATGAGAATTTACTTCTACCTATTACTTTCATTTTATATTAAAATTATATTGAACTAAGTAATTAAAACGGTTGTAATGTTTAAAATTGTTTAATGTTAATACTTTTTGAAGCACACTGTAAAATCCAAAATATTTTTTATTTATAGCTCCAATATTCATCTTTCTGTATAATAGTAATCATACGACATACGGTCCTTTAGAGAGCATACGTGGGACCGTGTAACCAACAGTAGAGACCCTTTGATAAGGAATAAACGTGGCGGATGAAACCCTCGACAGAATCATATGATATACCTGGATAATATAATTGTTTTTATATTACTAAGAAGTAATAATTAATATTATTTGCCTGTAATAAGCACTACAATAACAGAATATAAGCAATTAGTTACAATTAGGATAATATAACTCGGAACGGACAAGTAATTGAGTCGTAATGAAGAGTAATGTTCTTAAAAATATCTTTCAATTTGTATATAACTTATTTTTATTGGGGGTGGGGCAATTTCTTATACATTTTTATCCATTGTCTTTTCTTACGAGTACATGTTAAGTAAACGACATAAAAGTAGGTAAGAAAAACCAAAAAGAAAAGAAGAAATAGCCTCTTATGTGACCCGATTTCTAATGTCATTAGTATCAATTTTATTTGGTTGGGTTGGTTGTATTTTCCATGCATAGATATCCTCTATTGCGAAGTAAAATACACTCAACAATTTCTCTTACGCTCAATAGTAATTGTGGTAATTGTGGTAATTTACTTGCAACAAGGAACATTGCGAACTTTAAAGTGGCTCTAGGAAATTGAAAATGGACCAATTGCTTTAGAGCTTTAAAGACGAGCTGTCCTTGGTTGACAAAATCGCCCCCTTTTCCTTTAGATTGATTATTCTAACAACACTTAAAATCATTCTCTAAAATTTCACATTATAGAAATCCTAATTGGAAGGAATTTGTTAATTTCGAAATTATTTACAATAGTAAGAACACTAGAAAACTATTTTAATGAAATACAATAATAACAATATTAAAATTGTTTAATTTTAAAAGAACGATATATAATATTAAAATTGTTTTTGATTTTAAATTCCTTTTTTTGAGCGTTTAAATTGTTCCTATATAAAAATATAGCTGGTGAGAAATCTTGATCTTTATTAGGCCTTAAAAGGTGCCTATAAACTTGGGGCAGATTTTTGATATAGTTTTGTATCGATTATGTAAGATAAAAAGTATATTTTTAGAACTAAATTATATGCTATCTTTATTTTGGACTTGGAAATTGTCATTTGCAACGTGCGGGCTAAACATTTTTTTTTCGGAATTGGCCATGTTCGACAAACACAGAGATATGCCAATTATCAGTTGTCAATAATAACTGTATTTTGTCAATTATCAATTGTCTAGTTCTAGAGAATAACTTGGTTGCTCACAACTTATTATAATGTCTTATGTAGTAGTCATATGATAAATCAATAATATAAAACACCCTGTATATGTATGCTGTTATGTATAAATGGGAATATTTATTAAAATATACCGTATTAATTATTTAAATTCGGTAAGGGAGCATATATAATTGCTGTATATTATAACGTGATCCATGAACATTGGGAGCTACTTCAAGATTGTAAAAGCTTAGGAACTATCCTGAAGAATCTCTGACAACTTCCAAAAGACCCTGTATAACAGAGGTAAAGATTCCGTTGTGCTAAAAATTAACTGAACTCTGATAATTTGTTCGGAATATACGGGTGTCAATATAAAATTTTATTTATTACATAATATAAACTTTTATAGGGATCGTCACTCGTAATTAACAAATGCAATTTTGGACACATGTATATTATGAAGAAATTATTTTAGTATTATTTTCATCTGTCAATGAAATCTTCACGTCGACTTAAGAGATATTTAAATTTCACTTAGAATAGGGGATAAATAAAAAGTTTCTAAATTAGAATTGCTCGGTGACGAAAGTCATTTGATGCGCTACAGAATATGGAGGTTTTCACAATTTTTGAATTTGGAGTCCTCTCTGCCGAAGAGCCACGTGAACATCTGACGCGCCTTCATGCTGGCCTTGACCATGCCGCGGCTTTTGTACCATTGTTGCGTGTGCCCGCCCTCGTCGAAACTGTCAATTTTCAGTCTGATTTGCGTTAAAACTCCCACTAGAAGTTCGTCCACGTTGTGGTTGATTCCCACGGAGATTTCTATGAATTTCGCTCGGTAAGTGCACGCCATGCATTTGCCGTCTGGAAAATAGGAAAATTTATTAATAAAAGCATGCCAAGCGCATCCTCTAGCTGTAAGGAGAATATAAGCAATTTATTTTCAAATCATAAATATATCTATAGCCTTTTATCAGGCATTGAAAGCATATATTCTAGAGCCGAGTAATAAAACTCTGATTCTTTATCATTATGCATACTAATAACCGTTGAATATATTTAAGTCCCTATTCAAATTACTACTTTTTTCTACATCCACATAGATATTAGCTTATCTACAAAACGAAAAAGTATGCCATTGAGTTCACCTAAACGAATATAATTTCATATCCATTCTATCTTCTAAGAACACTGCAAAAAATGAAATCCACCAATCACAGTTCATATTTTGGTCATTACTATTTTTTAAATTTTATGTGACAATTCTATCAAACTAATTCTCACATTTATTGAAATTAAATATACGTAAAAATGAGTTATTCTTGTGTAGAATCGATAAATATTAGCATTTCTATTTTTATTTCGTCCATATTTACAAATAAATCTTAAATTTAACTCAAACTATCTGAAATCAAAACTTGTGAATTTAATATATCTATCGCAAATCTAAATCCGAAAAGTCAGAATTTTCTGAAATAAATGTTGAAATAATTTGAAAATTCGGAAACAAATCTCAAAAACCCTTCTACGAATTATTAAGACCATCTCCGAACCCCAAAGGTCATTTGAGAACGAACCTGAAACGGTGCTTGGCCCGAATTATCACATCAAACTACCGTCTAGGAATCTCGACTGCCAATGTCGTGGTAGGGCATTTGTGTGCAGAATAAAGATGTCTGAGTTCGAATCCGAGCGACGACAGCCTTTTTTCAAATCTCCAAGTATTTGTTTTCCCATTTGGGGTTCGGGGATGATCTTAATAATTCGTAGGGAGAGTTTTGAGATTTGTTTCCGAATCTTCAACGTATTTCTATAGGAAATCAATTTAATTAAAAGTATTAAAACTAAAATGTCAGTGTGGCGATGGAGCAGAGACTAGGGTATTTGGTTATCATGCAGAGGTCACGCGTTGAATTCTAGGATTGAAGACTAATAAATAAAAACTTTTTTCAAGTTTATTTTATTATATAAATTATTATAAGTCATTGTCAACAAGATTTCGAATTATTTTTTTGTGTATATATACTGCGTTTGAATATTCATGTACGATACATCTGTAACGTGTGGAGGGTGGGTTACCCCAACGGCACTTAGGCCCATTGTGCATCCTCTTAAGATGATGGGCACCTCTTAGCTCGTGAGCCATCCTACATATTTAATGGTGTTAGCCGATACGCGCCGAATACACATCTATAAAATGAGAGCGTCGACCAATCGTAAAGGATATCCTCTGCACCCTCTGCAGAGTGCGGATTCTGACAGCCCCATGATATGGAGATGCTTTCGTACTTGGCAATTACCAGTCAGAATGCCTGTGACTAGGCGCAGATTCTGTCTAGTCATAGTCAAGTATTTGTTTACTGCAGTGTTGTCAGGATAACTTAAGATCTCCCTGGCAATTCTGCAGTTTCTTGTTTCATCCCATCTTTCCTTAAATGTCCTTTAATTAGGTCTGTCACTACCGATTTTGTCAGGCCAATAGAAGGGCCAGGTCCAAAAAGTATTTGGTTGGCTGCTTTCTTGGCTAGTGAATCAGCAAGACGGTTACCTTTCGAAGTGGGGTGACCTTTGATCCATCTTAAGGTGACTACATTGTTGATGGATTACTTCGACCAATGCTTCGTACTAACCCTGAGTAAATTCGTGGTCTGTTCAGGGTGAGTAGTGCTTGTTTGCTATCTGCATGTTCCTTCCAGTGATATTGTTTCAGATGATTTCTTTTGCTGCTATGAGAATCCCCGTTAGCTCTGTTTGAACTACACTGGCACTATTGCTCACAGCCCATTTTATATTTAGGTTTGAGAATCTGGAGTATATTCCACATCCTGAGTGAGCCTTGTTTTGTTTTAGAACCATCGATGTAGATATGAATTGTACCTATCATTTCTAGCTCTTCTATTTGTTCTGTTATAACTTTATATGGCTTATGGAAGATATATCTTGGTGAGATGGAGTTCATGTTCGCTTGAAGCAGTGGGAGCGTATTGAGCGCCTCCTGCCAAAAGCGACGTCTCACCTCACCAGATCCTACTTCAGGTTCTATTACAACCATGCGGAGGCGTGTCATTGTCGTCAGAGCAACGTCCTTGATGCAAATATCAAGAGAAGTGAGACTAAGAATGACTTCCATGGCTCTGGTCGGTGTTGTTTTCATGGCTCCTGTTATGTTGAGACATGATGTTCTTTGAATGTGTTCTAGTTTACGGATAACTATTAATTTTTGGGTTTTCGGTACCCAGACAACTGCACCGTCTGTTAGCGTAGGTCTTATAATAGCCGTGTAAGTCCATGCGACGACTCTGGGGGAGAAACCCCAGGTGCGCCCCATGGTTCGGCGGCATTGTTCATAAGCAATGTTGGTAGACACAAATTTCGGAACATAAATAAAAAAGTCTTTCCAATGGTAAAAGTTGTAAAAATTTGCGGACGTATCGAAATTACACCACTGTTGGCAACATTGCAAAAAATCCTACTTATAGACACCTTTTACAAATAACCTCCAGATGGCGTATCGCTTAGTTCGAATCGCGGATTGTAGGCTCTAACTTGATTTTTCCAGGGCCTACTTTAGAAACTTTTTTTGTCCACAAATCACTAGAACATTTAAACCGTGTACATGGAAGATTACATCTCATATATTTTGCTTCCTAATAACAGAATAATAAAAAAACTATCTTAAGAATACCTATGCTAACAAATAATATTAACAAAAGGTTTTATGAAGATACACTTATGCTGTTTAATAGTTACGCCAATTTTTGGGTTTGTTCCTGAAATTATTTTGATGTGTATACTGAGAATGTGTGTATTTTTAATACAATTTTTTTTTTGTTTTTTCGCCTTCTACTTCTATAAGTAATAAGGAGTGAGTCACAAAAAAATGTTTATAAAGTAGGCCCTGTAAAAAGTCTCACGTATGTCGAGTGTACAGTTCTTCTTCCTTTTAAGTGTCAGTTTGGATTTAATTCAGAGCCGCACGTAGTTAACACGGACATGACTCGAATCTTTGTCTTTGTCGATCATGGCTTACTTTAGAACATATTTTGTGGATCACTTTCTCTGCATCTGTAACGTGTAGTTTGGCCTCACATGATCAATTGTGCATCCTCCTAAATTGATAGCTCGTCAGTCAGCCTACAAATTTGATGTAGTTGACCACGTAGCTGAGATGAGCTTCTCTCATATTATCCGGTGTTAGCCAATACTCGCCGAACACAAATATTTTAATAAATGAGAGCACCGGGTAACCGTAGAGGATATGCTCGATAGGCTCAACTTCTTGTTCGCACGATCTGCAGAGGGCAGATTCTGACAGTCTCATACTATGGAGATGCTTCCGTACTTGGAAATAAGCCGTCAGAATGCCTGTGGCTAGGCGTAGATTCTGTCTAGTTATAGTCAAGTATTTTTTGCTGAAGTGTTGTCGGAATAACTTGAAAGTTACCTGGCAATTCTACAGCTTCTGGTTTCATCTCATTTTCCCTTAAATTTCCCAAGAACATGTTCTTTGGTTAGTTTTGTCACTACCGATGTTGGCAGATCAATGTAAGGGCCAGGTCCACTCTTTATAATATTATCATTAGTTACTTAAACTATTTTGGTCATAATAAATTTCTATTTGTCCAAAATAAAAAAAAGTGATTCATGATATACCAAGCTAACCGAATCTGAGGAATACAACTCTAGGATATTCAAACTCTAAAATTTTAGATATCTACTGTCTCAAAAAAACGAGGTATAAATCAGATATAAAGAGAAAATGAAATAAAACTCACCTTGTGTGGAAACCGCTCTGCATCTGGCTAAATCTATTTTGTTGGCGACTAGAATAGCGGGTCGAGTTCTGAGCTGATCGCTGTCCTGCAACCTGCTCAGTTCAGTTTCCGCTTTGAGAAAACTAGCCTTGTCGACAACGGAGTAGAGGACGATGAACGCGTCTGGAGGGTGGCCTTTGTCGATAACGTCCTGCAACGAAAATGAGGATTTGCGTTAGAAAGGTTTATCAGTACATAATTGTGTAGCTTGTATTTGGAACAAGGGTGGCGTGAAAAATATCTAAAACGAAAAATATAGAAGTAGGTAATGATTTTTCCGACTTAAAAGCCGAAAAACTCGATTTTTCTCCATTTTTAGTTTAGTTTTTCTGACTTTAACTTAAAATGATATATTATTCCTGGTTTATAGTCAGACCTTGATTTGCCACTAGGCAGATTAGGCACTTGCCTACAGCGCAAAATTATTAAAAGCGACCTTTCACAGACTTTTTAAAGATATCAAATTATTTAAGAATTCGAATTGAACCGTCATTTACAGTTTACAGCAGAACTCATTATTACACAATTTTACCACGATCTGTAATTATTTTTAATTGTATGCAGCGTTCCACAAAAAAAGTTTCTAAAGTAGGCCTTGAAAAATTCACGTATGTCAAAAAGTATGTCTTCTTTCAGTGTTACTTTGTATTTAATTCAGAGCTGTGCGTAGTTATCACGAACATGACTCATATATCATGTTCTGTGTTAGATTTTTTTTTTTTGGTGGATTACTTCTTATTTCTTGTCTTCTCAAGAACCGTAAGTTAAACTTTCTTGACATTGACAGACATTAAAAAAAGCTCTTTACAAAGCTAATGGTACGAAATATCCTTTTTTTGCATATATTAACCCTTTCACCGACTCCAAATATGGCCGGAATTTCATTTTAGATTCAGAAAAATCGAGTTTAAACTATATCCCGAATTCTATAGCGATCAGAAAAAGCAAAAGAAATCGACAAGTCACTTTTTTAAGTCAGCTGAGTAAAGACTAGTACCTCTATGCTAGTACCGTTCAGTGCTATTACATTATAGATACTTACGTATACTTAAATATTTGGTTTTACAATATGTTGGAAGAATTTACTGTTTCACTCTGTATTTCCTTGTCACATGGAAATTATTAGTTTCCCTATCTGTTCTGTGGATAATTACATGCAATATTACGAAATATAGGTTGGTATGGTATGTAAATTAGAATTCACCACCCGTGTCTGATTACATTACGAGAACATTTCGGTACATAGGTAGAGGTTAAAGCCCATAACCGAACAACTTGTTGTTACAACTAAGCCGTCAATAATTGAGTTCTCAATGTCCGATGGAAAAGGTAGAATACATGCTGTACAAATTGCTGTTTTATGTTTTGTGGATTCTGCGGGAGAAGTGGTCCAGGATTACTGTCTGTGAGTGGCCAATAAACCGGGAATTATGATGGAACAGATCGGTACCGATGAGTGAAATTAAATATCAAATACTCTCGGAATGGTTTTAGATGTGTCAGGTCTCGACAGAGGCGGATGAACAAGGGTAATCCGGCCTGGTAAACAGTAAGTACGAGCCTTGTGCAAATTTATTCAAATGTACTGTATACCAGGGGAGGTTTCTCTATTGGTTCAGTTGTGCAGTTAAATTTCATAAAAACACATTATTTTAAAATTACATAAATAACATAAAAATATAAATTTAATTTTAATATTTTTATTTTCATATGTGTTAATCTATATTTTTTAGTACATCATTGTCCTCTGGCTGACCGCGTCTCTGTGTCACAGTATAGCTAAGTATACTGTGTCTGTGGCGCATTATGATGAGTGAGCCTAACACGAGTGAGACGATTTAGCGAATGCATATAGCTAAAAAGAGAAGACAACACGCCAACAGATTCTTCAAACTGCAAAAAAACACATTAATTGGCGCGCTGCTCATAAAAAAGGTTGTCAAACCAGTGTTGTTAGTCTAGTACAATTCACAATTGTACTAGATGTAGTACTTTCTGCATGCATCAGTGTTCACGTGTAAAATATATATATATTGTGTTCCTTGTTTGGGTTCGTTATCAATAAAGACCCCCTCTTTTCCCCCTTCAATGAATTAGATGTCACTGCAAATAGGATTCGAAAAATCTGATACATTTAAGGAATCTGGTACATTTTTTAGATAATTCTGGTACATAACAAAAACATATTCTGGCAACACTCTACCAAATCAAACATACTGTCATTTCGTCTTCCGTCATTCCTCTATTATGAAACGCTTTTAATAAAACTAAAATTATTTTTTGTGCTCATTTAAAAAAATGTGTTTAATTAAGAGCTGTGATATTAATAAATTGAAAGTATGTGTGTCAATTCAACGATTGTTCCCTAAAAACTTCTTTAAGGCAAGGTAAATAAAAGTATTTTTAAAGTTGTTGTTTTATTTAACTGTAATAAAGTTTTGCGAATCTAATTTGTTTTATATTTTGTTTCAGTGTCTAATTCTAAGACTACTTCAAAATGGTCTTTTTTTAAGCAACTGTAAATACTATGAAGTAAGAAGTATGCAAAAATTTGTAAATTTTTTGTTTCCCACAAAACAGGCTAACAGGAAAAATTTTGATTATTCTGATAAGGTAACTACTTGACATCATTATGGAAATAGAAATTTACAATAAACGTTTAATAAGGATAAAGAGACAAATGGTTTTTCACTATAAAAGTCTGAATCCAAAAAATGGACCAACCAGTTAATTTAATGTACTCAATGAGAAATTTTACCTATGTACATTTAAATAGTTTGTATACAATTATGTATGCCTGTAATTATCAATCGTGTTACCCTGAAATCTATTATTTTAATGACATTTTTTTATTGCCTTGTTATATTAGATGTATTGGTAATTTTGATCATGCAGGTATTAAATAAAAATAAGGGTGTTGGTAAATTAGTTTACAGTTGTTAATAAAGTATGTCTCAAAAAGAGCATTAATCTGTTTATTTTACCTTATACATTTTTTTTCTACTCTTCATACAGTATTCTGTGAAGAGTATTATAGGTTTACTTAGTCCGTCTGTCCAATGTCACGTTTTTTGTCTGCACGATATATCAAAAACGAAAAATGATATCAACTTGAAAATTTTAAGAAAAAATCAAGCTCTATAAGGGGACAAAGCCTATTGATTTTTATTAAATCTGATTAAAAATAGAGGGTTAAGATGAGTTGAAATTAAAAAAAAAATCTTAAATTAAAAACGAAAAGCGATATCAACATGAAATTTTTAGTAAATGAAGCTTTATAAGAAGATAAAGCCTATTGATACTGAAAAAAATATGAATATATTGGGGAGTTAATGGGGGGTTAAATTATTAAACTGAAAAATGAAAAATGGTATCAACCTGAAATTTTTAGCAAACATCAAGCTCTAAAAGGAGAAACCCTTTATTTATAAAAAAATCTGATTAAATATAGGGGATTAAAGGGGGGTTGAAATTAAAAAAAAAATCAAAAATGAAAAGCGATATGAACATGAAATTTTTAGTAAAAATCAAGCCCTATAAGGAGATGAGGCCTATTGATTGTGAAAACAATCTGGTTAAAAATGGGGATTAAGGGGGTCTGTTAAATTGCGAAGAGAATCATTTAGAATGACAGGCATTATATATCTTTATTCTAGTTTGTATCTGTGTAATATTATGTATTGTGATGGGACTGATCTTATAAAATAAACATTTAAAACATTTTAGTTCCTATTTTATTTGCCAATAAAAGATATTTAAAAAATATATTTTTTATTTGACATCTGTGACAAATTATGAAAATGATTAAACTTTCAATAAAAACTGAAAAATGGTAGGTAAAGTTTTATATAATATTTTTTACACAAAAATCAATGTCAAGCTTTCTACATAACCTGATATATATTTAAAAATAATCTCAAATTATGAAGAAAAGTCAGTTTACTAATTAATAATGTTTACAGATGGTTTTCAATGTATTAAAAACAAAACAAATATTACACTAACTAAAATATTCATTTATTAATACTTGTAGTTTGAAAAGAGTATGCTGTTGATAATAAGAACTATACTTAATACAAACTCAAATAATAAAAAACGGCGATATTGGCTCTTGTTCAAAGTTTTGAACCGAACTTACAAATGATTATTGGAAAAAGTGAACACCCATTTTAAATTATGACGAGCCGCCACTATTGTATACTATTATATATTAGTGTTCAATTCCTACATTTCTAAATCAATTATGGAAAATGACTCAATCTGGTATTCAAACGATTCGAAAATAAAAAACAGCACAGGAGATGGGATTAACCATGCGAACTCAGGGAGTTACTGATAACAGTCTTCCAGGCTGAAGTAACAGCAATAAATGTCTGTGCCCAGATTATGCTAAATTGCTGTCTTAGAGGTAGGAAGGTCTTTATTATTACAGATAGCCAGCCTGCCTTTAAAGCACTAAAAGGGTAGAAGAAGTCTGATTATAATAAGAAGAACACCGCTATGACATAACTATTATTTCTAATTTTTAATATATATAATCTATTAATAAAGAATATGTAAGTTGTTTGGTTAAACAATATTATTCCTACATTTTTTGAATATTGAAACGCTACTAAACCCCTAGTAGGCAGTGATAGCTAACGAATTAGTTCGCCAATTGATGACGTAGCCACAGTTTATTGCTAAAGAATCAGTTAGCTCACTTGGACCAGTTGAAAGTTTCAAAATAACATCCACTCCAGGGATACAAATTCAGGATGCGCAGAAGACTGCTGTTTAATTATAGTAGGAGGTTGTCATGTACTGTATTGGTTATGATTTGATTCTGTATGCGCCAGGGATACAAATCCGAGTTGCGCAGTGTATAAACTGGATCATTGAGATCAAAAGTGCCGACGCAGAGTGAGCGAACTGATTCTTTAGCCATAAACTGTGACGTAGCTATGTTCAATATTCATCTTATTGTAATCGGACCCTATAAACCCTATAATACTGAACTGCCTACAGTCCCTCCAGGCCTTGGCATAATATAACAAGGTTCCTTTTGAATGGATGTTGGAACAAAAGGGGAACGAGAAAGCAGACCTTCTAAACAGAAAGTGTGCTGAGAAAAATATAATTGGACCAGAACCCACTTGTGGTATTTTATAT